CAGCAATTTCTTAGTGAAATAAAAAACAATAGGGAGTCTTTAAGTAGTGCTGAAAACTAACTGTGTTCTTGATGTTGTAACTAAAATCATCTACAGTACTTTGAAGAGCATGAGACTGAACATGGTGACTTAGGCAGCTGTTTGTATAGATATGACAAATGTTTTACTTAAAAGATAAAGCGCTGCTCCTGAGGTCCCTGTGCACAGTATCCAAGTTTATTATCATTTCTATAGTAGTTAATCAACTGCAATATAACATATACCAGCCTCAGAAAAAACATAGCATAATACTGATGTAATTTGCATATTAATGATTAAGAAACTGACCGCACAGCTCATTGCTAATCAGTGGTGCTAGTTTTGGTCATTGCACAAATGTACAACTTATACTGTTGGGTAAACTTTATTTAGTGTCACTTTGACGATGCAGTTATCTCCAGACTCTCCCGCTGTTGATAAAAGCCTTGTTACACCTTCAGTTAAAATTATATTCTATAATAATTACAGAAAGTTTGGACAGTGTGCACTAAACTTTACTCACTTCACTTGGCCTCACATAGCTTTAAGCTTGTCACGGTCTAATGAGCCCCATCGTAAACAAAAGCAGGAACTAAAGTTTGAATTAGTAAGAACAAATATTGAACAGTTTGTTAAGCAACATACATCAATGTGGTAATTTTCCATCTTAATTAAGACCAAAATATATAGTGCAATAACTTATTTAAGTGAAGCCTGAAACTTTACTGGAATTACTGAAACAAGAAGTATAAGCCACATAGAACTGATTGTAAATCCTTATTTATTTGCATCACAAAACATTATTAAAGTTATGTACAGTGGAATAACCCACAACATGATTTTATTCACTTTGTAAGAGGGTTGGTTAACACGTTCAGATCAGCGCTTAACTTGAGAATAAACACATTCTTCAGTCTTCTGTTCTTTTTTATTGCTTCCTTTTGTAGCTTTCCTTCCAGGGAAATGTATTGCTGCATAGTTCAGATCCTGCTCACCTTCATTCTGTTTGAAATTAAAAGATCATAAAATATTGTACCTGCTACAGAGATTCATAGTAATGAATTAACACAAAACAATACGAGCTAACATAATTACTTACAATATCATCCAGTGGTTGAGTCAAGTTGTCATTTCTTCCTTGTGAGGATGTGCTGTCTATTGCCAGTGAATGATGAACAAATACACATATATTATGAAATGTAGCAGATTTTTCATTACAGTGCTCAATAATGCTCCAGTAATAATTAGACCTGCTAGTTCATCAGTTTTAATTTAAAATAATACATTTCTTTGATGAGTTTTTAACATTTTGCCCTTAAAACTTAAAGCTTTTGAAAGCACAAATATCAATATGGATGCTCAAACTCGACAGTTGTTTAATGAAATATAAATGAATGCAGAATAAGCAGAAACTTGAGGTTTGACATTTGTTCTGTTGCTACATTTCACTCAATGAATGACACTTACCTTTAAATTTATTACATGTTAGTCTTGGTCTTCCGAAACAGGTGAAAACAATATTTACAATCACTGAAATGAGCAGGCAGATTGTTGCTATTACCAGCGCAATAAATTCCCAACCTGTTTCTTCAAAAAAACAAAAAAAGTATGTCATTACTTCTTTAAGAATAAAAAAGAAGAAGAAGCCATGATGGTGTAAACATGTTATGCGCATTTGTACTTTTGTGTTACCAATTTGCAGTTTAGTTCCATCTCCAAATAATATCGTTCCACATGTGACAACAGCACAGTAGTAAGTCCCAGCATCAGAGGAGCTGACCGTCTTAGAGAAGCGATAAACACAGCTCTTCTGAGTGTCTGATTGCTTCTTACATTCAGTTTGGTTCTTTCCATCAACATAGATGATATTTGGATGAGAGTTTTGTCCTCTGAACCAGAGGACTCTGACATCTCCAGGACACATCTTGTTATCAGAGTCTGAGAGGACTGAACAGTTGAGAGACACAGAGTCCCCTGCATGGACTGAATCTAATACTGTTGGCCACTGACGAACAGTAACGTGTCTCTGGGTGTTTCCTGTGTAATAACAAAAAACAGTGTTTAAAAATTACCTCTAAACACAGTTTCAAATTTTATTGAAAAATAAATGATAACAGTGCATCTCAAATAGGAGAACTTGGAATCGATTTGCAAACACATTAAAACACCTAATATGATGTTTAAACTACGACTTATTAAATTCATATATAATCTATAGTTATTTTTTCCACCATGTGAAAAAGTTATTGTCAGATGGTTGAGTATTTACAGTGAATCCAAAAGGCTGCAATCACATAATTACCTTTTAATAACAAATATGTCCCACTCCAAGCATTCACATCCCATTCCATGACTGCACAGTGATACATTCCTTCATCTTCTGGGATTGTCCTGAATATGGTCAGACTGCTGATGTTTTTATTGTCTTTTGCTTCCAATCTTGAGGCATTAAACCCTTGTCCATACTGAGGATGTGTAGCTTGCCGCAGTGTCGCAATCAGTTTGAGAGCTTCCCCTGCTCTCTGCTTGTACCAGTGAATTTTACTGCTTAAATCACCAGGAGGTAAAACACATGTCAAAGTTACAGGTTCACCAAGTTGAACTGTGGTCACTTGATCCAGCATGTCTGCAGTGAGTTTAAACAAAACACATAAAAAACTGGGAAATTTGTCTTGAATATAAATAACCGGCACACACAAAAATCCTTATTAACCGTCACATGTTTACTTTGGTTGCAGATTGTGGCAAAAACAAATAAATAGTAGGTTATAAAGTTAGATAAAACTCACGTCCATGGTGAAGTAGAAGAAATGTTACCAATAACAGCATCATCGTGACAATGCCTTTACTAGGAAACTTGTTGATATTTCAGTGACTGAGGAGGATGATCTAATCAAGGTCTACACCTGATTGGTTATCACAGTCTTTACAGTCAACCTGCATTTCCTGGACTCGTCCTGCTTTGTGTGAAAAGTGTTGCCTCTATTCAAATGCATTTGTTAGTCTGTTTTATGCTAATCAAGACATTTTTTTTCTTTGTGGTTCGGTAGACTGACTTAGATGAACTAATGAAAAGTTTATCTTTGTTTATTTAGTAGTTTCTCCTGATGCTATAAGGAGGTCAAACCTTTCACTTATTCTTCTTTCCAAAAAATTTGCACATTCATCATTCCCATAGGAGGAAAACTAAAATTGTATTATGGTAAGTGTATATCACAAAATCAAATCACTCAACTGCTCGAACTACAAAACAATCTTTCATATATATTATGAATAAGGGAAATATCATCTTTCACAAGGAAGAAAGAAAAGCCTAAAAACATGTGATTACACAAAAAAGTCAGTCACCACTGCTGTACTAAGCATTGTCTCTGATGGAAGTTTACTCGGAGCAGCAAAATCAAACAGTCCTGGGATATGTCAAACTATGGCAAAATGATGGTGATCAATATTCTAACTTTTCCTCTAGCACCACCATGGGGTTAACAAGTGTGATTATGAGAAAAATTGCTATAAAACATGTAATGAATGATGGAATTTCATCCAAAAACTGCATGATTTTGTTTTTTTAACAGGCTACACCATCTCACTTTACGAGCTGCACCAGTTTAACCCGGTGAATATACCACAAAACTTAATCAGCATACCTAGGTTAACTTTCTGTTGTGTGAATTCACTTACCCTAACATTGTTGATCACAATAGATGGTCGAACAATGCTGGTTGTCAACTCGCAAGTTAACCCAGGCTTTCCCCTAAAACATTAATACAAAAGGGGTGGTGTTGGCAGCATCTGACCAATCGAAGAGGGACATTTCACAAATTATGACTCTTCTTCCAAAGAAAATGATCCGTACAACAGACATATTATCAAATGGCGCTTAAACATCTGTAAATATATATCAGTAAAATGCAACACTGTTGTAAAAAGGACAATAGGTAATTAATCCTTAATCTCGTGGTTAATCGCGCTGATTGGTAAAATAAACATTTTAATTCCAGTTAATTTATGTATCACTGAGAATCCTCTAAGTGCAGCTGTTGATATCCTAGGTGAAGACTGCACATTAACGCTCTGAAACTTTAAATTGGATTTATTTGAACAATAAATGTCCGTGTGCCTAATGAAGGAAACAGAAATTGCTTCAGTTTGATGCAAATCAAAGTGAAAATAATTTGATTGATTGAAGGGGTATTCTTGATGTGTTCTACCTGTATAGGAATTTCTTTTACTTATGTATTGATCACATTATTTTATTGTATAATGCCTTGGTGCCACTGGATTTTAACATGTTCACACTCATACATTTAGACAAATGGTGGGGGTCTAGTAAGGAAGTTGGGGGAAGCAGACACTCCACAGGAAGAAACTTTTGTCTCTTCGAGGACTCTGGGAGGTAACATGGGAGAGTGAACCTTAAGGTGTGAAACAGCTGTGTACTGCCTTTTGTTCTTCTCCTGGAGAAGGTATTTAACTGAGAGCCATGCTAGGCTCAGTGAGACTCAGCTGACCGTCTGCCCCGCGGTCATGCAGGCTCTCCACCAAGCTTGGTTGTCTGTTCTTTGTGTGCTTGGATTAAAGAATGTTAGCTCACGCTCACCGCTCGTCTGCAGGCTTTATTTAATGGAAAACTTCCACAACATACCTCAGGAAGCACCAGAGTAAAAGAGAGCAAACTAGAATCACATTTATCAACATTTTTACACTTTCTATGTCATCAAATTAATACAATGACATTCCCAGGACAAGGCGACCCACAGTTTGCACTTCATTTAGTGGTTTTGATAAGGTACAGCTTAACAAACGTCACATAGAAAACATATTCTACCTGCAGAGAATCTATAATACACTTTACATGCTGTAAATAAAAGAATAA